CTGCTTCCAGAACTCTGAAATGAACCCTGCTTGTGCAACATCCACACAGTAAAATTATAATGGAGACTTAGTGTTTTGACAATAAGGCGGGCGGGGGGGGGAGGAATTTCTCATTTCTCCTCTTCTGTATTCAAGTGGTTTCTAACAGATTCCAGAGACATATTCATGGCTGCTTGAAGCATGTCTTCTTCACTCATATCACCTCCTAAAGAAAATACATATAAATTGTAATAAATGCACAGCGCTAGTTCCCAACTGTAGTTAAATGCTTTCATTGTTCTTTTTGACCACACCCACCCGTTTTCACCCCCACCCCCAAAATTGGTTTTGTTTTTTTAAAATGCACTTAGCTTTCCATCCACAACGGTCAGTTAGTAACAAAGTAATACACATTAATTTGGGATCACCAATACCTAGTACTGGTAAGGCCTACATACTTATGTTCTACTGAAAACTGGTTCCAGTAATTTTGTCAGATATTACTCTAAGTTTATCACACTGTCATACAACTTTAAAAGTCATTTAGAAAACAAATTATTGGCACAAATCCCATCGTAATGCTCAAGCCAAGCAAAACAACAACAAAAAGCAAAGCCAGAACTCAAATGGTCTAATAGTAATGCTCTTCACTTTGACACAGGATGTTGACATTCAAAGTAGAACAGGCTTTTCAAGGAAGTGATCCTTTCCTTCACTGCCAAAAAGAGTAATGGCTGTGACGCACAGTCTGAATGGCTGCTGGAGTGAGGAAGTAGGCAGAGAAGGAAAGTTAGGAAACAGAGCACACACAAAGGTGAAAAAGACATCAATATTTCAGTGTTGGAAATAAGTTTAAAAAACAATACCTGGGTCAGCTTCCGGAGCGCTTGAGCTTAGAGTTGGCTTATCATGTAGGTTTGGGGTCCGATCTTGCTGCTGTAGCTGTTGTTGCTGCCTGAAAGCGTTACAAATTTATAAGAGAATAAGATTAACATCAGTATGAGACCTGTATCAAGTCTATTTCATTGTAAGGAAGGCCAAGAGTGAGAAGTAGAAGCTGTTTGGTACAATAACACCCCCGCACCTAAAACCTCTTCAATCATTGCACCCTGCTAACCTTCAGACACCTATCTTCCCAACATTATATTCCAAGCCACACTGCTATTTTCCCAGAATTCAGATGTTCTGCATTCTTATCCTCTCATGCAAAGTCTAACTCCTCCCATCCATAGCATTTCTCCCTGGTCTTTATTTCCTCCATCACTAGGAATCAGAGATAAGGAAAAGCTACAACAGTACCCCAACTATGCATTAAGAAGGTACTCCAGAACAGCAACATAAAATATCATCTAGAACGCTTTCATGTGATGCACATTAGAGGCATCATTACCAGAAGCAAAGTCTTAGAGGAAAAAATACTTTTCTTCAGGAAGATAATTACGGAAATTTACAGGATTTCATTTAAAATACTTCTATAATATGCATGTTTTCTTTCTTCACAAGACTGATGTTGCATTACTAACAGATCCCCTCTTATTTACAGGTTTCTTTTCTTCATAGGAATCACCTGGGAATAGCAAAATTCAGGTACTGTTAGGAAAACATGTTAGGATAGAAAAGTTAAGCTGGACCTCAGTCAGAAACCCATCCATGCCCCAAAAGCACTGAAAAATACAACATGTACTTCCACATGCAGTTTTCCATCAGCTACTTTACTTTTCAAAATACGCTTGTCTTCTCTTTCGTAGTTCTTCTGAAGAAAGGCAGTCTGTCTGACTGGTGTGAGGTGACTGAGGAACATTCTGTAGTAATGAGTCTGAGAACTCACTTCGACGACTACCTAAAACCAGAACATGCCACATCCTACTAATTACAGTAAAATTAAGTTAGTAAATGAAATATATCTTAAGAAAATGTCTTCGAACTTGAGAGGAAGAAAGAGACTTGTTGGAGACCTAGGCTAACTTCACTTGATACTGTCTTTCCTCCTCACCTTAGGACTGTTTCCCTTCCTTCCTGCCACCCTTTGCCCATTTGTTCTTGCTTCCTAATGATCAATGCTAACATGAAAGTTACTACTCTTCAAAAAGCAGAAAGGAGATAGCTACAGGAAATTCTGAAGTGTCCTTCCATGCCTCAAAGAGAGTCTTTTCAGAGAGCTTGATGTGTGCTGGAAAAAGTGGCTGACAAACTGATTTCAGTAGCTGCCTAAAGCATAAGCAACACGAACACCATAAGAAAAATTTAGATGAGCACTGCACCTTGCATGCTGAGTTGAATGGCTCTGCGAAGATCAGCTTCTTCATCTTCCATATCAATTTCCTGCCTACTTAGAGCCAAGGCTCTCTGAAAATTCTCTTCGTCTTCATCTAACATGCCTGTTCCATCAAAAGGATGGTTAACTTCTATTGCTTGGTCCACATCACTTCTGGGTAGCCTGTGAAATTGATACATTTATGGCAGAATTCAGACAGAAGTGATATTAACTTTTACTGTGAGATTTAAAGTAAATATTTTCTGCTGATTTAACTCTATTTCTTTTAACTTTGGAAAAAAACATTTCTATTGTGAAAATGTTATATGAACAACTACTTTCATTTCTACATGAAAAAGCACAAGAGGGCTGCAAGCAGAGCTTGCAGCTGTAAAAATGAAAATACTGCAACTCTAAACCCATGCACATGTTGACAAGAATCTGATAGATAGGAAAAACTTCAAAAACAATAGCCCTACAAAAAGCAATAATACATGTTTTTTGAACACATTGCTATTTAAACAGTTACACCAGCAGAAAATAGTGCATGTGGTCTCCTTCTTAGGAAGCTTTGATGACCACACTAGAGCAATAGGTCCTCTGTAACCTATACACACTTTCCATGTTACTGCCAAGTAGTTATCATTCCATCAATTTATAACACCAGTATACCTTTACAGAGTGGAAGAAATAATAATGAATTAATTCCTCTGAAGCCTTTTTACCAGTATGCAATTTATTCACTATGAAAATGTGACAAAATTATTGCAGAAGTAGTACTTCGTATGCTTTCAAGGTTATTTTATATTAGCAGCATGCATTGCAACAGAGCAGCACTACAACATTTACAGTGAAATTATTCCAAAAGGGAATGCTGTATGATTTATATGATGTGGAATTCAGATACGGGTTTCTTGTTCTTTTCTACTTACAACAGAACGTACAAGCCAGTCTTAATTATAGATTGACTACTCTTAACCATAGTTTGGCAAGATTTGCTAACCCATTTTACTATAATTGGAAAAATACCGTAATCATGAAGTTAGAAACATGCACTATACAACACTTATGCACATGAAAAGATTGAATCCTTATTAAGGTAGTTTTTGCCCACTTAAAAATACACCGTTTGTATCTTAGCAACTTGCTTTTACTGTGTGCAACAGTAGTAAGTACATTGTACTGAAGGCACTTCTAATTACTTTTTAAGGGGATTGTCTCCATGTAGGCATTAATCATGGAAACCAATCATACTGAACATTATTAAAATGAAATCTCTATTTACCTTACCTCTGATCTCTTGACTGTGCTGTCTCTTCTCCAATTAGTTTTGGTCGCTGCATCTGCTGTACCCGAATCATCTGCAATAGCTGATCAGCCTCACAGTCTGGCAGGTCACCTTTTACTACAAATATGGAATAACCTGAGAAAAATAAATTGTAAGTCTACAGCATTAAGGTGCATACATAAATACTCTAAAATACACACTATATGGAACACAACGATGTGCAATTTATTACAAAGTAAGGCTCTACCTTTCATTATAAGGACTTGGGTTATTTCACTGTTTCAATCCATAAAACTAAGGGTAGTTAACTGAATACATAAGTTCTAATAAATAATGATTATTACCTACTTTTAATTAATGAGATTTAACATCTGCAAGTTACTATTACCTTCCTGTTGTAATTGAGCCAAGAAAAGTGCAAGATATGTATCTGATATTAGTTCTGGACCCATCAAGAGAGAGTTCAAGTTAAACCACTGTAATTAAGAAAAAAAAGGTTTGAGAGAACAAATTAGCATAAAGATTACTCGGTAATCCATTTCTGTACATTGTGGTCATTTTCTATGATGGAATATCCGAATAAATCTAGTAAAATAAATTATCAAATTAAAAGTCTCTTGAAGCACAATACCTATACTGCTAAAGGTTACCCTTCAAATACTCTTCAGCTAACAGGAGATCTGAAGTGGTGAAATTACTGCATACTCTCTCCCGTTACTGAACACTGCCACCAGGCAGACAGATTAAAACAGATAAATCAAAATATAATGGTAGAAGAGTTATTTCAGATGTCATTCTAAAATTCTGCTTAATCCTAGTTTTAAATCTGTTCAGAGACTAATGAAGGAAGAAACCCTTCATAAGTTAATGCTGTATCTTAAGAAATTAATAGATACAGGAAACAGAAGTTGAATTCTTTCCACTAAATACTTTAATTAAACGTTCTGCCTTTAGTAGCTAGTGATGCTGAAAACTATTGTTTACTTCTCTCCGAGATAATTTTTAAATTTAGAAATTAAGAAAAATTAACTTAATGTGCTAATAGTACAGCATAATACTACAATAGGGGACACTGAAGATAAATATATACAGATCATTTCAAGTTCCCTGAAAAAGACAACTCATCATTTATAATACTTCTTCTAGAGAGAAAAATATATTCAACATGGACGACAAAATATTCTACCTTTAAAAAGCCCATATATATTGCAATCAATCTGAAGAACCTTTTTATACCATTCTCATCCAATATTATCCAATTTTATCCAGGAAGTACCATTTCAGATAGTAGAAGTAGAATTTTATCTCCATTTTCACAAAATGCATGTATCTACCCAAACTTCCATATGTGCAGTCATACACTTGCAGTCAGGCCCATACTATAATTCACCTGGAATATAGGTGAGTGACTATCTACCATTCTGTCATTCAGTCACTTAATTTGTCAAAAATGCTCTTTGCCACTAGGAAAGCATAAGACGACAAACAGTGTAGGAATGGGGAATAAAAAGTTATGTAAACAAATACAATGGACAGATTACTTTTTAAAAGGGAATATGGAGGAAGAAGGTTTGGTAAACTAATTTTGCTTAAACTGTAACAGAAGTAGGTCAAATCTAAGTCAACCTATTTTGTCTAGCTTTTCTCATTAGTCTCTAGATAACAGACAGCTAGTATTGTCTCCATGTGGTTACAAGCCACACGTACAAGCAAAAGACATCCCCTGTCCAACTTAAAACATTTTGGGCTAGAATGTTATTTCTCAAAATTCCACCCAACATGATTGTATATATAAAATAAGGAACATTCCCATACTTTTAAGAGACCATTCAGCCTTTTCAATATGAAATACACAAAAACTGTCTGTAAAAATTAGCCATACTTTTAAAGTAAAGCAGAACAGGAGCATTTAGTTTGGTTATCCACACCTGAATAATTTAAAAAAACCCCAAACCCCCAAATTTCAATCTGGATGAAAACTTAGGCAGCCACCACTTGCAAAATGAACCAAATGGGTAAAGAGACTCCTGTCCACTACTGTAGAATCTAAAAGCTTATTTGAAGAACATTTTCTATGACCAAAAAAAAAGCCCTGGAAAAAAACAAACACCAAACCAGTTTCTGTTGTATAAAAGCTTATGCAGTATGATCCAGAACAATGATTGACTACTGACATAAAACACCACATTGGTGTCACAAGGAACATGGATGTGACTTGAGTTATTGTATATGTACCATATACTTGTATGGCCATCCCTTACCTTTAATAACTATTTCCTGCTTATAATACAACTGTTTCAGAAAGTTTTCTAAAATAGTGCAAAGTTGTAATCCTACTTTCCCCAACCTTATCCTGATGGATACTCTTATATACTAGCAATCATAGATATTAATACATTAAAAATTAGAATTTTCTTATACCCACTGTCCATTTAAACAAGCAAAATTATTTTTACAATGTCAATAATTTAGTGCATTAAAATAAGTTTGCATTCCATAGGGATCCTAATCCTTGTCTAGGACTCCTCCCTCCTGCTCCATACAATTTTTCTGCTAGTTTTCATGCAGAAAAGAAAGAAGAGTTTAAGGCGTCACACAGACTCTACGAGAGCTTCAGCTCCCTAGAGGACAGGTTCACTGGGAAATTGATCTTAGAGTCTTTCCCCAGGCTAACATTCATAAAAAGCTGCCTGGCATTTTTGTGATTTAACAAACATTTACTTTTTTTTTTTTTTAATATGGGATACTATTAAAGCAAACTGCAGCAAAAGCTTGCAAAAGGCCAACACACAGTCTACTTGCAACCGCTTTTCCACCCCCATTCTGAAGTCAATTTTTAAATAAAAAAAAGACAATGTCACCTGTTTTCCTAACTTTCGAACTGTAAACCAGTGTTCCTTATAATTACAAATAAATGATTTTTCATTTCTGTAAAAAGAAAAACAAAAGGTATAGATAAAATTAAATACTCTAATATTGGAATGCATATTAATGTAAGTTCTTTGCTATCACTAATTTAAGCGTACATAATAAAACTTCAGTAATACAACTGTTGATGTTACAGAGTACCCATACTGCTTTTATAACATTTAGGAAGTTGTCAACATTACTGAAATCTCCATATACCTGTGATGCCACAGATACTGAGATATCATGAAGGCGCAGAGGACAGATGCTTATATATACCCCCAAAAGGAAAAAATTCAAGAATTTTCCAAAAGAAAAACAGAGGGGATAATAAAAACATCAGAATGCAACAGAGCTTGAAATAGTAATTTTAAAGAGAGGCTTAAATCATAGATTAAGAGTATTATTTTTCTGTAAAATGAAAACAGGGTGCTAAGAAAAAGACGTCTTACATAGGATCGATCCCAAGCCTCTGATACTCTGGGCTGTTGAAGAGGATTAGTTCTAAACCCCAAACTTTCAAGGCATTGCTTATAACCTGTCAAAAAATAGTACTTTTCATGAGTCAAACAAGTCAAATCCAAATTTAAGCAATGCAACCATCTTAGCTGCTATAAACAATTATACTGTTTTCATTAAACTTAGAGTTCAAAACATAGCTAGGAAATCTAGGAATCACATTATTCAAAACGCAACTGTCATGAATCTACATGCAAACATAACACACATACTGTATCTAAGGGTAACAGAACTAGGATTTAACTGAAATGTGTTAATAAGCTTACTCCCCCAGACAAAGCTGTAACTTCACCTCCCACATATACTTCATGAGTTGTCATGTCTCTGCTCTCATTGTACTGCTCTGCCCTCCCTCCCCCTGCCAATACAAATGTCATCCTTCCCCACAGTAACTATTGAAAATTTTGCACCACTGGATTGTCACAGGATCAGCCAGGTACATTAGCATAAACTCTTTTACAACTCTAAGCTATATGAAATAATGCTGCAAGAAATTTTAAATTAACAATTCATCTTCCTTTCAGCAAGCCAACTATGTAGCAAGTGAGCAAAGCAATGACAGGACAAAAAAACCCATAGAATATGAGGAAGCATTTTTTTTCAGCTTCAGTATTGAAGCAGCACAATCAAGAATACAGGAAGTGCCAAACTGTTAATGGTTTTTCACTGAATAGAAAAACAGCCCTCTCCTGACATAAGAAAGGGAGGCTCTCGAGGGATTCTGGAGCATTGACAAGCACCTCTGAAAGCTCGGGAGACAGCCAAAGGTACAAAGCATTGCCTACAGCTCTAGTCTAGACACAAGCCCCAATTCGGTGTTCAATACCTTTTTTGTTGTTGTTCTGGTTTAAGTATGTCTTATTAACTACTTTTCCATTACGGTCCTTTAAAAACAGAAAAGAAAAAAAAAGAAACCCAGCTCTGAAGTGTCTGGCATGCGTTATAAGAACTGGAATGCAGATATGCAGCTTTTTCCATTCTGCAGATGACTGTGATAACCCTGTAATCATTGCCAAGGGCTCTACAGTCTATAATTTGAGAAAACAATCTCAAGTCTGCTTTTTCACCTGTAGTTTATGGGAGCCAAGGTCTACACCTGAAGCACCCATAAGAAGCAACTTAGAAATCAAGCTTATCACCAGGAGGTATCGTTTCACAGCTCAGGAGTCCATGCTTCTACTGTGTGTCTAAAGGCCCATGAACTGAAGAACTGCAAGTCACTGCTCTTAATGGAAAACACTCTGAAGATTTATTATAAGTCCAGCACTTAATCCCATTAAGCCTATAAACTGGAACCTAGATGAAAAAGCTTGATGCCATTTAAACTATATGAGAGAACATATATTGCATAAATAAAAATTATGTCAATATAGAGCCATACTTACTTGAATTGAGAAGAATCCACTATCATCCATATTTACAGAAGGCTGCTGCTCAGTGTGAGGTTGGGAGGGAAAAAAAGGGAGAAATGGCATAAGCATAAAAGGTCAGAATTAATTCAGTTTTGAAAATAAATATAACTGCACATACTTAAAGCAACAACTAAATACGTCCTAGTCTGTAAGGCTGATTACAGTGCCCAAATAAGCTTATTAATTAAAAACTCAAACCTTTAAATTAGAAATGCTCAGTGCTTAAAGGACAGGCATGGGAACTTCTGTTCATATCTCTCCCACTGGCTTACCAAAACAAAAGGCAAATTGCTGATCCTCCTCCTCACCATGCCTGACCTTCCCACCTGTAGCTTTTTGTAGAATTACTGTAAAGCTGTACCAGTAACATTTGAAAATGTCAATTTAAGCTGCATGAATGAAAAGGCTTATAAATTTAAGGAGTTTTAGCACTAGGAAATTAACCTTCTCTAGCTATGCAAGAATAGCAGGTCTGTGCTACACAATATTAGATTTCAGGCAAATATCAAGCAACCTCAAATTAAGAAGATTTTACCTGTAAAAATGTTCTATATTCTTCACTAGACACTCCTCCTTCTGCCATTCTCATTCTTTCTTCCTCATCCAACTGCTGTGCAATAGAGGATAACTCAACAGGACTAAAATATTCCCCCTGTAGCAAATTATTCAGACAGTGCTGAGCACACAATGAGCCTTCTTGCTAACATTGGAAGAGAAAAAAATACCAAAGACAACAAAAAATTCACATTAATGTTTTGTTCTGTAAAATGACTCAGCCATTTCATTCTGGCAAACTTCCTGCCTTCCCCACTCACCCAGAATACCATATATGCTTTGGATGTATTACACTGCAAGCTATAGAATACAACCCTCCCATGAATTTGACGGGGAAAAAACCCAACATGCATACCACTTTATTTCCTCAAATGTAATACATTTCATGTAAAAATGTTGGTTTTGAAAACACTGTAGAAAATTGCCAATGGCCTGACCAAATCACACAAGGACTCTGCAACCATGAGGACAATGGATTCTGTCCTCTTCCAAATCACCATCACATGAAAATGAAATAGTTCAGATCTCTTCTTCCCAGTAACAAATCTTTTCTGCAACAGATGCTCTCATTCTTTTTAAACTTTTCTTTCCTGCCATGTGTGGCTACTGGCAATCTGCTCTCCACACATGGCTAAAGAAAAACAGACCATTAGGACTTTGGAGAGATTTAAAAGTACACATCTATGGAATTTATTTCCTTCATTTCAGGTTACTCACCCAGTTCAGGTTATAACCAATTTGTCTATTGCCTAGCAAGCGATTAATAGCAGTAAAGCTCATTTTCCACATGAAATTTCCATATAGGAACTAGGTAAAAGAAGCTAATACTACTGGTTCTAAAATCTTGATGACAATGATGAGGTGACAAAAAAAAATAGTTAAATTCATATCAAACAATGAAAATATTTTTTGTTGATAAACCATTTAAATGGAAAACAATTCAAATATTTTGTTACATATCCACAACATTGAAGATAATAGAAATGTAATGTAACATTTTTAGACTGTCAATCCAAATTACAAATGAGTAAATTAGAAATGTCAGTCATGATTTCGTAGCACAAATTAAAAAATATCTAAACTGAATGAATGCATGTCAGGCTCCATCATTTTCATCAGTGCAGATGAAATACTGCCTTGTTAAAAAAACAAACCAACCAACCAAATTACAGTTTCCCATGAAAAGCAATCTTTCTTTACAAATAACCAAACTACAAGTGCAAGACAAGATTCTAAAATCCTGCTTTTCTCTCAGTCCTCATTTTTATTTACATTAAGAACTCTAATATGCAGGCACTCTATTAAAAACAAAACTAAAACTCCTCAACAAAAATCAAGAACACCCCTCCCTCCCACCAAACCCACAGAAACTAAGAATAGAAGAGCATGCTTTGGAGGAATATTCTTTAAACTTCCATGAACGCCTCATACAAATTATATGCATAAATCTCCCATGATCTCCTTTACAGCAGGAACCTTGAAAACTCCCGTGACCCCAGATAACAGAATCTTCCTGGGCCTTCATCACTCAGTTGAGCAGTAAGTTGTTAACGCTAGACTGGCTGTACAGCCAGGGGCCAAGAGAATCCAGAAACCTTCTCCACCTCATGTCTTTCCCACAAGAACAAGCTCAAGACTAAACAACAGTTCTTGTCCCTTCAGGACCACATCCCTGCTGCTGGTCATACAATAAAACTGTAACAGAAGAACCTGCTCAAGAATCACAGGTTTCTCCCCCAGAATTGTAGGAAACTGATTTAGAAACAAAGAGATATTAAAATACCTTTGAAAGTAAGTTGTTTTACAGGCTTGAATCTTAATTTCACTGAAAGGACCTTTCTGTATTTGTACAGTTTTATCTTAAAGCAATAAACATTAATTTTCACATGCACAGTTTTTACATATTAATTGCAAAACACAGAGAAAACTGATCTTACAGTTTTTAAACAGACATTAACGTCAATCTTTTTTGTGCAAAGAATACCACACCCTTCCATAATCTGAAATTCCCTCGTTGTAACATATCCTGATATATAAACTGCTGCCCTGCTTTGTGTTTTCAACCACTTGTAGTTTATCAAAGAAGGGGCAGACTTCTAAGATAGGGGCTCCTTAAATTCCCCTTTAAAAATGCCACACTGCTTAGGTCTTTGTTTTGTTAATTTCCTTTATAAATGTTTTTCATGCCTTTTTATTGGAACATCTGAGGTGTGTGTATTCAAGCCAGGGGGTGTGCATGTACATGAAGCACTAAATATTTTGACAAGAACTGAGATAGTTCCTATTAGTTCCTGGCTGGGGGCAGGAAATACCCCTAAAAAAAAAACCCAACCAGAAAAACCCAAACCACGAGGTTCAGTTAAATTTTCCCTAGAGTAATAATGACAACAAAGATAAAAATATTTGGTACTTCAATTTAAAACAGGCATTCAGGTGTAACTTTGTAACTGCATAACTAATTTAACCAGGGAGCAGTAAGGTTTCACGTGAGACACCCAAGACCATTATCCCCCCAAAAACCTGTAGCAACTCCAAATTATAATCAGCTTATAAATTTGAATGTATTATGCTCTGTCACTTCAGTTTCAGCAGAGTTTTGTTATTAAACTACAAAGCAATCTAGTCACTAAAAAGTTATAATTTCATTATGTGATAGGCTAGGCCACATAAGAGAAAGGTACACTTGTTTTTAAGTCATTTTCAAATCTAGACTGGAACTCAAGGTCACTGTAGCAGAGGCCACAATGGCTGAAATCCAACACTCGTCCTCTGAGCAGCAGCTGTTTAATACCACAATGCTTGCCAAGTTTTGCTACCCAAACCTAGTTTGGAAGAACACTCCTCAGGTTCTATGGACTTCATAACAAGTTTTTTTCTTATTATTATTTTTTAAAAAGTTATACAGCTATCTTGCTTTATTTGCTAAGTAAAACAACCATTATGCATGAGAACAGTGTATGAAAACTAGTGTTAATCTTAACACCATAAAGGTGCAGAGACATTGACAAAGTACATGAAAAAAAGACAATTATACCTGAAGAGTATTAAAGCATAAATAGCTCGTATTTGGGAAGCAGGCTACTCCACAGTTCATAGAAACATCTGTCCTCCAAAACAGGAAACACTGTTCAGCACACTGAAGCACAGTACGTGAATTAGGGTTTCCTTAACAGCTCTCCCTTTCCCTGCTCATCATGCAACCCCAACCAAGCCAGGCTAGGCCAGGCGAAGAGACACATCCGAGAGGACAGAAACAGCCCTGCCTGCCGCTGCTCATCTTCACACTCGCTTCTCAGCCACGCGAGTTCTCGCTCAAGAGCTGTGGCCCGCCCCTTCCCACACTTGAGGTCTATTTCTAAAGGCCCAAGAAGAGCAGTCATCGTGCGAGAGGAAACGCTGAGGCTCGGCCCTGGCCCTCTTTGATCTCCAGCAACGTTTCCTCTCCCCGCAGCGCCAGCAGGCCTC